AACCTCTCTGAGATGAAGCTTTTGAACTATGATCCTTATTCTTAAATTCACAAGGCCCTTCTGTTGTCAAGAGTTTTGAAACTCTGGGCTATTCCATTTTCCTGAGGTACGTTATATTCGTGAGTCTCATCAACAACCTCTCCAACAACTTAAAATAGATTTTAGACTTTGTGAAACTTTCCTGTGTAATTCAGATTCAAAGTGCCTGCTCCTATATAGGAACACATCTTGTTTAATCATTTTTATTATTCTTGGCCACCTTTCCTGGACTAAGATACTTTATAACAGGAAGAGACACTGGGGCACATATACTGAACTAACATAACCTTTTGTTGTGAACATCAAGAAAGAAAGATTAAAAGCTCAGATCCTTCAAACACAGGCTACATAAACAGCAATAAATTATTGTTTTCCACGAATATGCCATTTCTATCACGTGTGAAAATGTAGAACTCATGGAAGGATTTTTAACTGCATCTCACAGTGAAGACTTTTTTCAAGTGCTAATGAAACCTATCTCTTGTCTAAGGAACTGGGTTGCTGCACCAAACAGCCATTTGACATTCAAGATAATATCGCCTAGAGATGTAGTCAGTCAAGAAGCTGGGGAGGCAGTGACATATCACAGTCACCACCAGCATCTTCATTGTCATTGTTATCACCATCAGCATCCAATATTTATAGCTGTTTATTCTTGTAATAAGCAATAAATCTCAGAAGGTGTAATCCATTTTAAATGTTTCCTATAAATTCAGGGGTGCGTCATATGGCATCTATCCTACTTTGGAACATAAAAAATGAGTAATTTCTACTTGTGACTTATTTGAAAAGAAAAAAATGAAGGAACAGTGAGACCATGTTTAATTTTAAGCACGGAAACTTGAAATCTGTGAAAAATTCAAAAGCAGCTTCTCTACACTCTTTTCTCTAAATCTTTTCTTCCTAGTTAGTAGAAATCAGAGGAAAAATCCTAAATGTTATGGGAAAAAACGCAGATGGGTGCTTATTCATAGACCTGATAAACTTCTTATTTGTATAAAGATGTTTCAGAATGTGATATATTTGATACAGTCTACCTTAAGTGTGTGCTTGACAGAAATCTGCAGTTTCTTTAATTTTCTGAAATGTATACAGACTATTCCAATACATTTAAATTAGTGATCACATCACTCCTCGGTTATATACCTCTGTCTAGAATGTTTCTTTCCATGGAATAATTAACACAGGAAAATACAACTCAATTGAGGAACCTTCTTTGTTCTTCTACAAAGCAGTGTGTGTGTAGCATCCTGAGTCCTGTTCCCTTCTCAAGTAAAGGGATTGGTAGTCTCTTTTCCAAACAACAAACATCAACGTAAGCCTAAATGGTCCTTCCCAACACCCGAGAAGAGACAGATTTTATTTCATTGATGTAATTTCATGAGGGGTAGGAAAGATCTAAACAGGCTACAGTGCCCAGCCTTGGGTGTCGTAGAAGGTGTTCATGACCACCCACTAACTGGATGCTCTAAATCCCTCCTGGTCACAGCTTGGGGAGGTCCAGTGGGGAGGCTGTTTGAGAACAGGAAGAACTCACACAGATACCATCATCCTGGCAACGATATTACTCAATTCACAGAAGACTCAGAATTCAGTTAGATGTCCCTGGTAATTTCTACATATTACTACATATTTGTAAACAAATATATCTGATCAGTCACCTACTATTTTACAAGCTACAAATAAATCTTTTAAGCAAATATAACTACCTCAAATCGCTCCCAAACTGAAAAGAATCTCAGTTTCGGGTGCAATTCCTAGAAGATATGTTTCAACAACTAAACCTAATAATCAAACAGGAGTTAAAAATCTTATAACTAGGGCCTCCCTGGTGGCACAAGGGGTTAAGAGCTACCTTATGAAGCAATCCGCAGCCACTACAGCACAAGTTCGATCCCCGGGTGGCCAGGGAACAACCCACATGGTGCAGCAGACCTCTCCTCACTCGCCCACTGTTCCCCCTCAACAGTGTATTTCAGTCAGTCTGCCTGTTCTGTTCCCCACTCTGTCTGGTGAATCCTCTCACCCCCTGCACCTCTGGTCTATACCCCAGCTCTTGTACACATAAATAAATAAATCTTAAAAAAAATCTTATAACTAAATAAATAAGATGACCATCTCCCTGGCTGTTAAAGTTTGCCCTGTGTTATCATTCTATGTTAAACATTTATAATCACGAATTAAATTAGATGGAAGTTATCAAAAACAATTACGTGTGTATGCACGGTACCAAGAGTTTAGAAGATATGCATCCATATTTCAATGATATATCACTGAAAATTAGAAGACATACTTTTCTTATTTTTCTCAGCTTAGTTACCAATTCCTTTAAAGAGACATGGTTCAAAACTAGACCGTATGTCTTAAAACAAGTTAATATTAAAGCAAATGTGAGCAAAGTAAAACAAAACTAAATTAAAAAAATACATGTATATACATAAAAAAATAGAGGCAAACAAGAAATTAAACAATGGTGGGTGTGATGTGCTGAGACACATCTGAGGAGGTGTGACCCTGTACCTCTGAGTCACATACAGTGTTACAAAGCAATGTCATCTCAATAATTTTTTTTAAAAATTACAGACAAAGGGGCCTCCCTGGTGGCGCAGGGGTTAAAGTCTCAGCTCTATCAAGCTATCACCAGCCACTGCAATACAAGTTCACTTCTGGCCAGGGAGCTACCCACATGGCGCAGCAAACCTCTCCTGTCTCACCACTGCTCCCCTCAGCAGTGTATTTCAGTAGATCTACCTATTCTGCTCCCCACTCTGTCTCTGGTGAATCCTCTCACCCCATGCACCTCTGGCCTATAGTCTAGCTCCTCTATGAATAAATAAATAAAAATATATCTTTAAAAATTACAAATAGAAAATAAAGTTTAAGAGTTGAGTGTTCAATGGTCCTCTATTTCTTTCTCCCTTTGATTATGTAGGAATTCATCTCAAAACTGCTTATAAGAAACCACAGTTTCTCTTCAGCCATCATTGTCTCAATGTTTCTCTCTATTCTTGCCTTAAAGAACTGTGAGATCCACACTCTAATATATTCCCTCTACCATCTGAATATAGCAAAAGTATTCTAGTCTCAACTAGGTGCCACATAAAATCATCCCAAAACAATTTTATTAATGCTTTTTATATAGGATATAAAATTTAACATTAGCGTTTATGGAATTTTATAGTGTGTTTTCACAGTAGACCTATGTTACCTCTACCCCAAATTTCTCAGTGCATTGGGCTTAATATAACAATGTATAATTAAATCTATTTACTTGTTGCATGCAAATTGCTGGATGTAAAAATGTCACTGCAGGACAATGTTAAATTGACCAATAGAGCATGTAATTATCTTGGGTATTTCCCCTGTGTAGAAAGGGGTGAAAGATACATGCATTGTGGAGATACTAAACTGAAATCAATGGACACCACTATGGTGGCTATATCAGACTATTACAAAGCAATATAGATTTTACTGTAGCAAAAATAGCCTATACTATTCTTATGCAAGAAATCTCAAAACGGTCAGATGGACTAGAAACTTGGAGAAGTGAAAGGCAGATATATGAGTCTCTAGATTATCCTAATAGTAACCTACCTTTTATTTACCAAAAAATAGTTAAGGTCCCTTAAAATCATGTCTGGAATTTGTTTTTCACTCCCAAGGAGGATATCCACTCTTAAGGAAATACAGTAGGAACCTATTACTGCAAAGAAAACAGCAAAAGACCCCTAATTCTCAGTGGCCTAATTAAAAAAAACCTGTATTTTTTTATTACCTACCACAAATTTATGCTATACCTGGTTATATGGGAATTTTGCATTTAGAAGTTTGTGTATTTGTCACTCACACAAGTGATCAGGTAATACCCTTTGCACAACAAAGTCATGCAAATCAGCGAAGTTTCTGCTCAGGCTTGTACTAGGGAACCTTGTTTTTATAAGTGGAGACAGATTTAATAATATCTCCCCTGGTATCCCTAATGTGAGTCAAGAATTTAGGAAACAAGGAGTCAAAATACAGCCAATCTAGTTGAGAGTCAATGAAGTCTAGCAGTGAAGTCTAACACTGAGGCCTTAAAATAGCTGATTTTATAAATTTCGGAGCTGCTCAAGTGTATTAACATGTCAGAATGGGTTGTACCTAATCAGAGAGTCAGTATAGACCTCTGAGCAGCCTGAGGCAGACACCACTCCGCCTGGGCTATGAGGACAGTGACTTCCTCTCCAGTGCAGTTGTTCCTGTCCCTCCTAGACCTTCTCAGATGGCCTGAAGTGAACAGGTTCAGTCAGGAATTTCAATGGTGCCAGTAACACCCAAAGACCAACAGCGCCACAATTGTCCCCAACCCCAAAGTTCTTGTTCATTTCCTTTAGCCTATCTCCACCAAAATCTACATCATTACCTGAAGACAGGGCCTCCCTGGCGGCTCAAGGGGTTAAGCACAGCACCGTGAAGCTATCCACAGCCTCTGAAGCAAGAGTTCGATCTCCAGGCAGCCAGGGAGCTACCCACATGGCACAGCAGACCACTCCTGACTCTCCCGCTGCTCCCCTCAGCAGTGTATTTCAGTCAGTCTGCCTGTTCTATTCCCCACTCTGTCTCTGGTGAATCCTCTCACCCCCTGCACCTCTGGCCTGTATCCAGTTCTTGTATGCATAAATAAATAAATCTTTAAAAAATACCTGAAGACAACATACCAACTCAACTCTTGGTCTATTTGGTGCTTCTAAGCACCAAATAGACCAAAACTGTAAGTGCTGTTATATAAATTATTAAAAAAGAATAGCACAAAAATAATATTTGCTAGTATTATAAATGTATCATAAAAAATACTTCCTAAATGATCTTTGTGTGATTCATTTCAGAAAATAATCAGGAATTGCAGAGAGGAAAAAAATGGATAGACATAAAGGCATAATTTTTTTCATTGAATTTGACTACAATCCTTATAGTTAACCTACCTCAAATTTAAGTAAGTCAGCATCTGCAGATTAATGATGGCCTCAGGGATGACTCTGATACAGTTATGATACAGATTAAGCATTTCCAGTGATACAAAATGGCATAATTCCATTGGAACTTCAACCAGTCTGTTTTTAGATAAATCTGTGAGAAAAGAAAAGAATATTTTGTTAATATTTAAATCTGTAACATAATTCAATGCAATCTTATTTAATTTCGCACTACTTTTGCATCAACATGTTCTAAAATAAATGTTATAATCTAAATTTAAATCAACATTATCTTTTTAATTTGATTAAACAATTTTTTAATTTGATTAAACAATTTTTATTAATGTTTATTGAGGTAAGGCCGTATATGTTCACACCTTTACAAATGTGTTATCACACCACATCTACCACCAAAGACCCATAATTAACCCTCCACCACATCCATTGCGCTCCTGAGTGCTTTCCTCCACTCCCCACCCTCCCCTTCTGGTAGTTTTTTGTACCACTGTTAGTAAGGATGTTGTGATTTCCATTTTCTATTTAAACAATAAAGTAAACTATTGACACCACCATACAACAAAGAAAGTACACAAAAGGGAATCAACATATGAATCTCTCTTTTAGAAACTGATGTAAATTCTGATTTACATAAAAATATTAACATACTACGAATACGCAGTTTATTTTAGGAATATAAGGATTCTGTATTATTTAACATACAGAATAAAAGTGAAATAGCATATGAGCATCTTGTAGATACTTAAAAGGTACAATACTATATTCAATCCTCTTTAAAACAACTTTATTAAAATGCATCTTAATGTCCTATTTCAAATGCACAATGCAGGTGGCACCTGTATAATCATAAATCCTCTCTGAAGAGAGATCAGCCCTGGTTATGTGTCTACTACCCTAATTTTTAATTGTAGTCTCTCTCATTTTTAGTCCTTTTTGTGAGTGATTTGTTTGTTCATTTATTTCTTTGTTTTTTAATTATTCAAACTGCAGTAATTTTTTTCAAGTTCTCTGAGATTTTTTAACACAATGTACAAACTGTGAGCTGCCCAAGGTCTGGCAGACAGAACCATCCAAACCTTGTTTATAATAGTGCTGTTTTGTATGTCTCCTGTTTCTGAAAGGAGTCAGGCTAAACATTATAAATAATTAAGTCACAAGGTGTTAACAGTGGGCATCTGCCATTGCCAGCCGAACACTAACCAGATGAACAAACCTCTGTGACCACAGTTAGCAGGCATATCCCCATGTAACGTGCCCCCTTTCATCTGGGTTTGCATTCCAGTTTCCACATGAAAATGGAAGAAACTGTATTACAAACCCTACACATAACTTTGACTCTTGCATGCCTATTAAAAACAATAGCCTAGATAGATATTGTTAAAATTAAAACAAAGCTGAAAAATAAAAACAGCCCATATGTTGGATTACTTATGTATTCATCAACATTTACAAATAAGAACACGGTTCCTGCAGCTTACCAAGGAGCTTATCATTTGTAATGTAAGATGAGGCAAACCGATAATGAACCATACGGTAGTATGTTTACATTGTGATTAAAAGAAAAAAAAAAGGTACAAATAAGGAGCTAAAAATCCAGTTTGGTAAATGACATTACCACCCATTGTGCATTTCCATCATGCCTGACATTGAAACTGGAGCTTTTCAGTACTTTATTTAAACCACTGAATAGAAGAGTGTTATTAGCACCAATGTAAAGAAGAGGAAACTAGAGTTCAGAAAGTTCCCAAAGCCACGGAGATGAATAATTACATTTCCACCTAGGCACATCTAACTCTAAGGCTTGAGTGAGTTCCCACACAAGATCATTCTTTCTCCACGGAATAATGGCCAGCCAGCCCACCATGTGTCCTGCAGCTCAATTATTAGGAAGACGTAATAATTAAAACTTCACTGCATTCTTATTTGTCTGAAACACAATTAAATAAAGTTAACATGTTTTGTGCATAGACCCAAAGGATAAGAACACATTGTGTTTTAAAAAGAAAATACTGAAAACACAGCTGATGGGCTAAATTCTGGAAGTGGCCAGAAAATGTGGTAAGTAGAAACCCTGACTTAGCTTTCAAGTAATGCTGTACTTTTGTAAGTAGTCTGTTTCATTAACGAGCTTAGAATGAATTTTCAAATACCTGACTTACTTTTCTTACTTGTATCTGAGTATCATTTAATTCTCAATTAATTTTATCATTGGTAGAGAGAAATTGCATGTTTGTTTTCCTGTGCAGAAATCACCTTGTGTCTTTGGGCATTTGAAATTTAAAGGGTAACCTGCTATGGGAAAGATGCCCAGAAGGGCTGGGGAAGTGTCTGGATTAAGATGTTTTGACTTTGAGTGGATAATCCAATTACAAATTGTGGAGAAATGCTATACAAGCTTGTTCAAAATGTTCCTGTTAGATGAAAGCAAAGAAATAAAATGAGGTCTGGTCCCTCTTTAAAAGAAGAGAAAGAGAGGGAGAAGGAAGAGGCAGGAAGAGGAGAGAGGCGGAGGGGGAGTTACGTGTGGACCGGAAGGCCCAGAGAGGTTAGCTAACTAGCCTGAAGACACAGAGCTAGTAAGTGGCTGGAAATAAACTCTGATCCATTGCTCACTGGGCCTCAGAGGACTGCAATATAGGAAAGGTCCATTGTTCATGTAGGAATCTCTTGGAAAAAAAATTAATGAACACATTCATTTTGGGTGCCTAGTAAGAGGCATTAAATGATCCCATAGTTCTGCACTAAAAATAATGACCAGGTTCCTAATATTGTCTCCAGAAAGAATAGCACACGTCATTCACTGGTACCTTGTTTCCCAGTCCAAGCTGGACACTGTTCTTGCTCTCTAGAATCCCACCCTGGGGTGCAGCTCTGCGTTGGGGAGTGGGGACACACTACAGCTCTTGGCAGAAACACAGCAGGCAGCAAGCCAGAACCCCAGAGCCACTCCTTCCCGCCACTGCTACTTAACTAACATGTTCACTTGAAAGCTGCGCAGTCAGAAATAAAACAATATGTTTTGCCACGGCCAAAACAAGCTTTGCAAATCCCTAAAATAAAGTAGTCAGATGAATAAAAATAAGCAGGGGTGGGCAGAAAAACAGTCAATGGAATCTGGTGTACAGTCAGCACCACTGGAGGCTCACTGTTGTTTTTGTATAAAGGAAAGTGGGGCTCAGGAGGAACTGGATGGGGCCAGCTCTCCAGCAACAACATCCTGAGTGATCAGCCACAAGCAGCGTGAAGCAGAAGCGGTGACAGGCCGATATGGCTGCAAACCTCATCTGCAACATCTTGCTTTATGATCAGAAAATACATCTAATCTTGGAAGTTGACATCATGTCCACTGCAGAAAGCTCAAATGACATTTTTAAGCTGAATGTTATCACAGAAGTTTAATTTTAGAATATTTACATTAATGATGATGTCTCAATAACTGGGAGACCGACCAAGGACCGCATGGGACTGTGTTTCCCTGACAGCGCCCTCCTGGGACCAGGCCTCAAGTAGAGGGATGGGCTGGCATCACCTGCCCTCTCTGAACAGTCCACCTCCCTTTCCTCTAGAAGAATCTCAGTTCTATCCTACACCAGGGACTGTCCCACCATGTGGACCACCCCTCACTTCAACCCCTCCCTCAGCTCTGACACCCTTTCCAGCCCAGTGAATCACAGGCAGGGGGTGGGGGTGCAACTGCACATTTGGAAATGCCCCAGAGGAAGGAAGCACTGCTCCAGTCAATGAAGCAGAGCCTACAGGCTGACTCATCCTTGATGGAGATAAAACTACCTCATGCTTCCAAGGTTAAAAGAGCAGAAATAACAAGCAGATTCATAAAGTTTTGAGTCAGTCAGCATTTCCAGCTGTATCTTTAAAAGATCAAGAAAAAAAAATCAACCTCAAGTAGCAGTGATTTGTCAAACAATATGAACCCTAAATAGTTTGCCTTGATCTTAAAATGTCAACATCTCCAATGTGACCTTCTAACCCTCTTCTTTGTTTTGTTTCTTTTTCTTAGCACTTAGATGAACTTCTAACCAGCATACAATTTATTCATATATTTTGGTTGTTAATTTTCTCTCCCCCTACTAGAGTGTAAATTCAATGATAGTTGGAGTCTTTATATTATTCACTGGTATACAGCAAGAGCATAATAAACAGTTGGCGAATGAACTGGATGAGTGAAATTAGGAAACAGGTTCTCAGGTCAGACAGTGTAAGTTCACATCCTGGTTCTGCCACTCAGCTGTGTGTACTTAGTAATGATTACTTAATTTCTCTATGTCTCAGTTTCTTCACCTATAACATGAGGATGATAATAGTACTGGCACCACTGAATTCATGGAGGAATTAAATGAGATGATATGTGTGACGTCCTTAAAGCAGCACCTGACAGAGAGTGAAACATTCCGGTAGTCTCTAACTATGTGAACCAGGTTCCAGGAAAAAGCAAGAGATGTGCTGGAAAGGAGCTTAAATATAACCAACAGGTACATGAAACACAATACACAAATACCTCATGATAACAAATCTTACATGATCAGAAAAAAAAATTCCATGTAATGAGTGAAAAAGTTATGATTGGTGTGAAGTTTCCCCTTTCAGTGCTGAAAGAGGATATAAGAAATAAAAATTAGTTTAGATAAATACCAAAAAGCACATAATAGCAGATCAGATCCTGGCATTGTGGTTTTATTAAAAGGTAATGCCTATTAAGCCCATGAGTACCAAGGAGGAAAGTACACATAGGGAGACTTTCAATGCACAAATGCATTACTGAAATGTTGGTAGAAAAATGTGTTTCTACACTGTATTTCTCTTATCTAAAGTACTGCCAAAAAAAATAGGAAATGGTATTATTCAACACCAGCATAAATATGAAGGAAAAAACTTGCTGTCTCAAATTATAATCATTTTACTTACAGAAACTCTTAACTAACTAGCTCACTCAAACACAACTCTAACAAATGCTCCTGCTAACTATTTCACACCCAACAGCATTTTAGAAATAAACAAATAAGGAAAAGAAAGGGAAATGAGAGAAAGCGCATTTCTGACAAAAATAGTAACAAACAGTGAAATACACAATTATTTTTAAGTTTAAGTATTTTATTATTTTTTTTAATCCAAAACAGC